ACACCTAGGAGGGAGGGTCTCCTGGGCCTTCAGCCCCCTGCAGGTGCACCTACACCTTGGAGGGAGGGTCTCCCTGGGACTTCAGCCCCCTGCAGGTGCACCTACACCTAGGAGGGGTGGTCTCCTGGGAAGTCAGCCACACTGCAGGTGCACCTACACCTAGGAGGGGTGGTCTCCTGGGAAGTCAGCCACACTGCAGGTGCACCTACACCTAGGAGGGCCGGTCTCCTGGGAGGTCAGCCACCCTTCTGGTGAACCTACACCTAGGAGGGCAGATCACCTGGGAAGTCAGCCACCCCTAGGTGCTCTCTGGCAAGTACTCTGACACAATAGAACTGTTTTAAACAAGAAAAAATTCTAAGAAGATCACACCCATCTTCATGCTTGTGGTCCAAGAACAGTGGTGACATCACAGCATCAGGACAGAAGCTCACAAAAGGGAGAAGAAAAGGAGATCAGAGAACGTGAGTGAACGCTGGAGCCCACCTCTGATGTCCTGATGAGCAAGCAGCCAGGAAGGGGTGGCTGAGGCCGCCCTCATGTCTCAGTCTGTTTCACAAACCCCTCCCCAGGACATGCAGGGCTGTGGAGGGCGCCCTGGCAGGACCTGGAGGGACATCTCCCACTGGGATGGGGGTGGGGCCGTGGAGGTGTGTTGAGAGAGGAAGTAAGGGCACCACGCAGTGTGCTGAGCACGCCTCAGCACAACAGTGAGACCCAGCCACAGGCAGAGCAGAGGGACAGCCAGTCTGGAATCGAGTTGGTGGACCCAGCAGCTGACAAACAGGCCTCCTATTTGAAAAAGGTGGAAACTGCCTGCAGGTGACACCAGCAGGTCACCAGGCTTCCCAGGGAGGCACTGCCCTGACTCAGTGGCACTGAGGCAGTCACGGCCTCTGTGGGCTGTGGCGAGCGCCACAGCAGGCATGCTCAGGAGAGGCCACCCCTGCACAGCTGTGCCTGTGGCTGCCCCACACTCTCTGCGTGGCAGAGTGTCCCAGGAACTGCAGGATCTGAGCAGTGAGGGCAGGAAAACACCTGGCTAGCAGCAACCTCGAGGCTCACAGCTGGATGGCCCCCTAAAAGAATGGCCACAAAACCCTTCAGGGGACACACAGGGCCACGGAGGGGATGGACATCATGGAGGAGGAGGTCACCCAGGGACAGGGAGGGAAACCCCATGACTCCCTGGCAGCTGACGTGCTGAGGGCCGAGGACCAGGGACTATGTCTTCAAGTCAGCGGTCATTGCCCCATCTTCCCTCAGCAGTGCAGGACTGGCAAGCAGCTGGGGCGGGGCGAGGTCGCCTTTTTGGTCCTCACCATCAGTGAGCAGACAGAGAGTCCCCAGCCCCAGGAGTCTGGCATCAGCACTGGAAGAACTAGGGAGAGCCAGAAAGGCCAGCGCCTTCCAGGTGGGTGGCGTGAGCTGAGATGGGTGGGGTAGGGAGCCCCACCACGTTCTCCACACTGTCCACCTGGGTCACACTTTGTCAGGCTAGGCCATACCTGAGCCCAGGTCCCCCTCGGATGCAGACGTGGGAAACCCTGGTGGTCTAGCACTCTTCTTCCCAGCTGAAAACACACAAGCTGCTCGAGGGTGGCCTCACGACTAGCTAGGGGCAGGTGGCCGGAAAGCCCTTCCATGCTTGCTGGGTATTCCAACTCCTCAGGGGCTAGCTCCATCAACTCCCACAACCTCCAGCCCCCACCAGACCAGCACAAACTGACCAGACAGCAGTGTTGCAAACAGATGCCCGAGCAGCCTTCCCAGACTCAGCTCCAAGGAGAAGCCTGGCTCCATACCCACAGGGTCACCTCCATCCAGCAACACCACAGCCTCAGGGCCCTGCGCCCACCAGGCCATGGCCTAAAGGCCCCCTCATCTGGCTGTGAGAGAGGCACGGCCCTTGGAGCCACAGCAGCAGCTGCCTTGAAATCATGGCAGAGCCAACAGCAGGACAAAGCCCACAGCTTCCCTCTCTAGGTCCCTGTGGCTGTCGCTACAAGAGGGAGGATGCTGAGGGACACTCCTCAGGGAAGGCAGGAGGAGAAAGAGGCAGCCCCCGCCAGGGCACAGAGCACTCCGGAGCAGGCCCAGGCCTCCCTCTCCAGACGGTGCACAGGACACCACAGGCCCAAAGCAGCCTGAGGGCAGGAAACCGGGAGCGTCCACCAGGAGAAGAGGGAGGGCAGGGCACGCTTCACGTCTTCAGACAGGCCAGCCCCAAAGCCACACAGCTCAGAATCCTGACCGTGGTCACCAAGACAGGCGGCTGCCTTCCCAACTGAAACCCGTGGGGGCAGGACACGGCAGGAACACAAAGCCATAGAGGAGCAGGCATGCCCGCGGCCCGGAGCAGGGCAGGGACAGAAGGGCTGGGCAGGCCCCGGCTCTCTCAACAGTCATTTCTTTAAAAATTTGAAAACAAAGACGACAGAATGTGAAAATTTAACTATTTGTCGTAAACAGCAGGTGTCCTATAACATCACTTAGCATGGGACAAGGTGATGATCTGCCTTGCCAAGCCACTCAAGCCCCAGGTTCCCTCACCTGTCCCACCAGAGGTCCCCAGTGTGGACATCAGAGGAGCACTCAGAGGGCACAGACTCGCTCCTACACTCTCACCAACGCCTGTTGGCAACATTTTTAACACAAGCCCTTTCTGAGCACAACTTCCTAAACAGGACAGGGAGGAAAGTCCCCGAAGGCCACCTACCTTTTTATCTCATCTCTGACGGGGTCCACATGGTACCTCAGCAGCTGGAGTTCCTGGCCAGAGGACAGTAGAATGAAGGCATCCATGTAGTAGAACTGTGCGGATGGCACCAGCTTACAAAGCCTGCCTCTGCCCTGTGGAGCACATCGTCATCAAAAACGCACAAAGGACATGACAGGATTCATCACCTAGGCAGGAGATCCTCCCCAAACACCCAAGTCTATAGATCCTGATCAATAAATGAATTTCAACACCCACATCTAACTTCAATTCCCAATATACCCTCCACACCCACATCGATCCATCCTCGACACCCACATTGATCCATCCTTGAGACCCACAACTATCCATCCTCAACACCCACAACTATCCATCCTCAACACCCACAGCTATCCATCCTCAACACCCACAGCTATCCATCCTCAACACCCACAGCTATCCATCCTCAACACCCACAGCTATCCATCCTTAACACCCACAGCTATTCATCCTCTACACCCACAGCTATCCATCCTCAACACCCACAACTATCCATCCTCAACACCCACAACTATTCATCCTCAACACCCACAACTATCCATCGTCAATGCCCACACCTATCCTTAATACCCACATCCATCCTCAACACCCACAGCTATTCATCCTCTACACCCACAGCTATTCATCCTAAACACCCACAACTATCCATCCTCAACACCCACACCTATCCTCAACACCCACAGCTATCCATCCTCAACACCCACAGCTATCCATCCTCAACACCCACAGCTATCCATCCTCAACACCCACAGCTATCCATCCTTAACACCCACAGCTATTCATCCTCTACACCCACAGCTATCCATCCTCAACACCCACAACTATCCATCCTCAACACCCACAGCTATCCATCCTTAACACCCACAGCTATTCATCCTCAAAACCCACAACTATCCATCGTCAATGCCCACACCTATCCTCAATACCCACATCCATCCTCTACACCCACAGCTATTCATCCTAAACACCCTCAGCTATTCATCCTCAACCCCCACAACTATCCATCCTCAACACCCATATTTATCCATTCTCGACACCCACAACTATCCACCCTTGATATCCCCAACTATCCGTCCTCAACCCCCTCAACTATCTATCTTCAACACCCAGACCTATCCATCCTCGACACCTAGACCCATCCCTCCTCAACACCCACACCCATCCTCAACCCCACATCTACCCTCTTCACCCATGTTTACCAGCATCATCACCACATCTATCTGTCTTCCACACCCACATCTATCCTCAACCCACACATCTATCCAAACGCTAGATTCAATGCACCTGGTAGAACTAACCTACTGCATTGATGCTGCTTACTTGCTATTACTGAAAGGCTTTCTAGGATCAAATTTTACCATAATGAGCATTTTGAGTTCCAACCATTTACAAACCTTAAAATGAAAACAAATCTAAACTTCACATAAAATACAGTATTAGCAAGGACTTCCTTAGTGTTGGGATTTTAAATACATTTTGCAGCAGAGCTCTCTCACAGACACAAGCCTCACAGCTGGAAATTCACACCTCCTTTCTTAAGCACCGCCAAGCACTTGTCCACAGACCCTGGGACCTAACTGACCACCTTCCCTTCTCCTCCCAGCAGTACTCAAACCTACTGAGCATAATGGCTTCACCACGCAGGACCTGCTCCTGTGGGTTCACTGGGACTGTATCTCTGCCTCTGCTCAGCACTAGCTCAAGAAAAGACCAAGAGTCAAAATTCATACCTTCTTAAAGGGAAAGAAACCATATGGTCCTCAAACCATCATAGTTGAGGACCCCCTGCATTCAAGATCCATAGAAGATCAACATTACCATTTTTCAAAATGTCACACTTCTTATGTGTTCAGTTTGTTGTTCACCAGTGTTGGCAGCAGGTCCACCCTGGCCCCTGGAGCCCAACCTCCACTAGTTTGTTCTGCATGCCAGTGTGGCCAGCTCACAAGGCCATGGCGAACTTGCGGTTTTTCTGTTCCTGCTTATCCGTCTGAGACATATGTATCCCACGGGAATGCCTTGACCTTTTCTGGTCTGATGGACTTATTGTTAAGGGAGGTTTCGGTACCTGACAATAATAGATGTGGAAACTAAATTTCTCCCCCCTCCCTCCTGCTTTTGGGTAGTTTTCCACTTCTGCTGCTTGGGGTATAAAAAAAGGTGTGTTAGCAATAAAGATTATTATTGACTCCTGGATGAAGAACCTTGGTGTCCTGTGTGTCTTTTAACCTCGCCGTCCCTCGCCGGACTCGGCTCCCTTGGCCGGACGCGGCAATTGGAGGTTCCCACCGAGATCCGGAAAGCAGGGGTAAGCGGACGGGGCTCACCTTCTAAGAAAGAAGGGGGAGGATTGGTTTAAAGATATTTTAAAGAGACAGGGTACGTACCATGGGTAACTCAACAGCGAAGGTTCGTCTGGCCAACGAACTGAAAGAGCTGTTAAATACACAAGGAACAGGAATAAAAACTAAGACTGCAACCGAATTCGTTGAAATTATTGCCCAGGCTTGTCCTTGGTTTCTGACAGGAGGATTTCTTAATAATAGTGACTGGGACCTGGTGAGGCATGACCTTCAGAAATTATTGAGGGACCGGGGCTCGGATAGTGTCCCAGTTGCCACCTTTTCCTTATGGAGGTTGGTAAAGGATGCTTTATTAACAGATAAAGTAAAGATCAAGGATCAACTTGCTGAATGTGAACAGGCCCTTAATCAGGTGCAGGAGGAGCAAATGGCAGAATCCTTAAAGGATGAGGGTCCTCTTGAGGACTCGGGCTCGGGGGGTAAGAAACGCCTCCAGATTTCTAAGCCCGAAAAGGATCCTGAGGACCTCAGTTCTCTCTCTGAGGAAGAGGAGGGATTAGAAAGGGAGATAGAGGAACTAGAACATCGCCTTAAAAGGGCAAATGTGAGGGTGCCTAGGGCCCCCTCAGTTGCCGCACCTCCTCCCTATAATCCTGATTGGAATGAGGACGCCCCTACTAGACGGGCGGGGGTCCACTGGGGTTCTAGAGCGGCTCAGGTTTTTCCAATGATTGAAAACGCCGATGCTGATGGACAGCCGGCCAGAGCCCATGTCCCCCTAGCCTTCAAGGACATAAAACAGCTTAAGGAGGCGATCATTAATTATGGACCTCATGCCCCTTTCACATTGACCCTCTTAGAGTCCTTCTCAGCCAGTCAACTAATACCTAATGATTGGCAGCAACTTTGCAGGGCTGTGTTATCTGGAGGGGATTTCTTATTGTGGAAAAGTGAATATCATGAAAGGTGCCGCGAGCTGGCTCAGATTAACCTGAATGCGGGCCATCAACGGCGAAATGCCGAAATGTTAACAGGAACTGGGCAGTATGCCACCATAGGCCAACAAATTAGTTACGACCCAGGTGTTTATGCTCGAATAGCCTCAGCTGCAGTCCATGCCTGGAAAGCCCTGCCCGTTTCTAAGACTGAAGCAAAAATTTCCAAGATCTCTCAAGGGCCCTCTGAACCTTATTCGGACTTTATAGCCCACCTAATGCAGGCGGCTGGAAAAATATTCCCTAATCTGGAACAGGCTATGCCACTTATTAGACAACTGGCATATGAAAACGCTAACACTTACTGCCAAAATGCTATTAAGTCCTCCCGGGCCAAAAGTATAGATGACATGATTCGAGCATGCAAAGATATAGATGGGCCTCATATTACTGGTCAGGTTTTGGCTGCTGCCCTTAAGACTGGAATGCAAAAAGCTGATAACAGGGGAACCCGCTCTAAGGGGTGTTTTAAATGTGGAAAAGAGGGACATATAAAGAGAAACTGCCCGGAAAGGAGCGAGGGTGCTGGCAGAGGGATGCCTGGAATTTGTCCTAGATGTCATAAAGGAAATCATTGGAGCAGTGAGTGCAGGTCAAAATTTGACATCCAGGGTAACCCAATACCGTCGGGAAACGGGAACAGGGGCCCGCCCCGGGCCCCGGAAGCCAAAGTGTACGGGGCAGTGCAGGGACAAAACAGTGCCCCAGGGAGTGGGCGTCTCCAACGCCTCCCACTGACCAACCCCTTTCTATCTGGGAACTCCCCAGGGGAACACCAGGAAGCGCAGGACTGGACCTCAGTTCCACCTCCCGAGCGGTATTAACTCCCCAAATGGGACCTCAGACGCTGCCTACTGGGGTTTTTGGACCCCTGCCAGAGGGGACGGTGGGACTAGTGTTGGGACGAGGTAGCGCAACTCAGTGGGGCTTGAAGATTCTTAAGGGGGTTGTTGATGCTGATTATCAGGGAGAAATAAAAATAGTAGTAGAAGCTACCCAAGGAATTGTTATTCTTCCCCCCGGGGAGCGTATAGCTCAATTGCTGCTGCTACCCTTAGCTTCCATTCCTGGGCACGCCCTCCGTGGGTCCCGGGGCGATGGCAGCTTTGGCTCTACTGGAACTCCCCAGGCCTTTTGGGTAGCTCATTTGGATTCGCGTCCCAACCTGACCATTGAGATACAGGACAAGGCTTTCAAGGGAATACTAGATACGGGGGCAGATGTCTCTGTCATTTCTGAAAAACAATGGCCACCTGCCTGGCCCCTCCAGAGTCCCTCAGCCATATTACAGGGGATAGGACAAACCCGACCAAAAAGAAGTGC